GTTCCCCCGGAGTCCATCGCGACCAGGTCGGCGGCTTGCATAATGCTCACGGTTAACTGGGGAACATGTGCAAATTTTAAATTCTCCTGTTGAGATTTTGATACGCCATTTTTGCACTACTTACATTCGTTGTTTTGAAATCGTACTCTAATTTGTAGTTAAGTCTCCCCATTTTATTTGCTTTCGCCGTCATGTTGAATGTGTTGTAAGTTTTCTACTGCAGTTCAAATTCGGGAATGTCCACTATCGGCGTTTGTTTTTGGGTGGGTGGGTCAGTTTGAGCCGCCTATCTTGCCTATGTTAAAATTCCCTATCTCATAATGTTAACGTTGGGTTGGTGGGTCATAAAATCCCGAATTTTAGTTGACGTCAATAGTGGACGTTCCCTTATGGAAAACTAGGGCTCCTATGGGTACGCAGTATTTAAAAATTGTTGCAATTAAAATAACCCCCACTAATCGGGTGGTAACTAGTTGGGTGGGATCCACGAAACGACGTGGATTTTGTTGGTAATGTGCCAAAACCTTGGTGGTGTCCTTGGAAGTTTTATAGATTTTCTAACAGCTGGAGCACTTTCACCTACTCTTGTGGAGGGTGGAACGTATTTGCAAAATATGCGTTGCTCCGGTCGATCGATTCCTCATGACACTGAGCGGAGAAAGTGGGTAACGGATGTGTAGGGATGACTCGTTCCCAAAAAGGTCCACTCGGACTTTCTCCGAGTGGAGAAACTGATCCCAGCCAGCACTCCACTTCACGCCACAAAGTATGTCTCAACATCAACATCACACCAAGTCGGATAAAAAGGAGACAAACATAAATTATTCATACAAATGTGCTGCTCAAAAATTTGTGATAATATTGAATTTCTCGTGAATAATCAATGAATAAAAATCCATTAAAATGACGATGTTATGTGGGTCCTACCAAAGACATCGATCGCGTGAAAATTATGATTTTGGCGTTATGTGGAGCATGTGGAGTTACATTGTTTGAGGAGAAAGTAAGTGGGGTTTTACAATGGGAAGCAAAAATATGATTTTGCTTTATACACAGAGCGTATTGGAAACGTTTGCCATGTTACATAACTCCGGAACGGTTGTGAATTTTGATTCCAAATTTTTAACATAGCAGACCAATACCCCAGGTAACACTTTTGAGAAATATCAGCTCTCCAGTTTCAATGGAGGAGTCCCTACTGCGCCCTGAGTGAGCGACAATCATTTGAACACTTTCCAAACAAACACCAGTATAATTTTGAAATTACGTATTGTAAAATTTAAATACTAACTGTTTCAAAAACGTGAATGCGTAATGTATCATGAACAAAGATCAGAATTGGCATGCTTAGAAATAATAACTTACTGACCTTAAAAGGGAAACCCCCACCCGAAAATGATAATCGTATTTTAGCTAACTGTGCCGAGATTAAATATGCATAGTGTTGACACTCTTAGCAAATTGGTAATAAAAAAACAAGCGGAGTAGATATATGACTCTACCGTGACGGAATTAAAAATTTACACCATGATGGTATAGATTTAGTAACAAAATAACACTTTTTGGTAATAATTTTAACACTAATTTGTGTTACTTTTTTACCATAGTGTTGTTTTAATACCAAATCATTACTATCGCGGTAGAGTCATATATGCACTCCGCGCAGTAGTGATTCATTAAAATTTTGTTTAGAGTGTAGAAGCATGCATGTAAATGTGGTGTGGAGGAAATGGAGAGTTGACATACGAGTTAATCTCTCGCGTAGATATGCATGCAGTTTGGGTGTACGAGGAGAAGCAACTTGCTTCGTTTACCGTTACAGTAAATGCAGTTGTTTCACTCTCACTCTTAGGGTTGGTTATCCGACGGATCGGATCGTATCGGATCGGATAGACAGTCCATCGGATCGGATATTTCATCATGTCGGATAATCCGATCGGATATTAGGGCCGATCCGATCCGAATCCGAGCAATCCGACGGATATCCGATCGGATCGGATAGTGATCCGTACATTTTTAAAAGACAATCAAATCCGTTAATGATTCATTTTTTTAATGAATAATTAACTTATTTAGCTAAGTACTGTAATAATTAATTACAAAAGCACATAATTATTATAAGCTAGGTAATTAATAACAATTGTTTTTGTAATTAATTACTTCATTAACTGTATGGAACAATACTCAAGGCAAAATTAATCAGTATTTTAACTGATAATGCGCTCTAAGTACTTTATGGTAAAGTAATTGTAATAAGTAATTAATAACTTATTGATACGTAAAGCAAGTAATCAGCATTATCTAATTTCCTGATGTTAAAACTAGAATGCGTATTACATAAAATCTTGATGTGTGAGATACTTTGTTTAAAAATAGTAAGAAATTGCAACACATTACACTAATTAATTATGCTAAACAGTTGTCAGTTGTAACAACATTTGAATTTACGCATTTCAAGGGAGAATAATTTCGCAAGTCACCAATAGAGTGCGGAATTATAGTAAATACAGATTATCCGATATCCGATCCGATATCCGAAGTATCCGTCGGATTTATCCGATAGGATAAATAGCCTTATCCGATCCGATCCGAAAGCTCTCGGATATTTTAATTTACGATCCGATCCGACGATTATCCGATCCGATCCGACGGATGGGATATTCCCGGATCGGATAGACCATCCCTACTCACTCTCAACCTACACAACTCAGCCTATGCAAAGGTACCTGAAGCAGAATTTTGTTCACATATGAAATCCATGCATTTATGAACATTGAAAAGTTGCACGGTCAGATTTCCAGAAAGGCTAAATTTCTCCGCGTGTTTGCATACACTATTGGTAACTTGGTAATAAAAAAACCCAGCGGAGTGGAAATATGACTCTACCGTGACGGAATTAAAAATGTACACCATATTGACATAGATTTAAAATAACATGTTATTTTATTAAAATTATTACCAAAAAGTGCACTTTTTGGTAATAATTTTAACACTAATATGTGTTTCTTTTTTTACCATATGGTATTGTTTTAATACCAAATCATTACTATCGCGGTAGAGTCATATATGCACTCCGCGCAGTAATGATTCATTAAAACCTTGTTTAGAGTGTAGACATGTCTCAAGAGGACCTTCGCGAAGGTACGCAAAATATCCTGCTAAGCGACCAATGCGAAGATGACGGGAATTTTCCATTTTAACATATTTGTCAAAACATGATCACCAATCTTATCGACATTAAAATTAATAATTCCCTACTTACAAAGTTTGTTGGGAGTATTCACGTCGCAGTCGAAAATGTTTGTTAGCAGCATAATTTGCAAAGCGTCGCAAGTTTTTCGAATATTTAGAATGAAAAATTAACTTAAGAAATATGCGCATGAACAGGACATATTAATTTTGCTGAATTGTTTTCGAAAATCTTGTATTTCATTTCGAATATTTCGCAAATTTGCGAAATGATACAATGTCCGAATTAGGGCATCCAAAATCGGTTTTTCCGATTTTGCAAAACCGGTTAAAACCCGGTTTTCGATTTACCCGAAAACCGGTTTTAGATTTTGCCAGAAAACCGGTTTTTGACAAAACCGGTTTTAGATTTTCCCAAAAAACCAATTTTGTACAAAACCGGGTTTATCAAACTCGAAAACCGGTTTTCGATTTTTCATAAAAATTGTTTCGGAGCCACTAAATATTTAACATTTCTTGTTTTTTATATATAAATTGGGTGTTATGAAATATTTCTTTCAAATTTATCCCTGAGGTTTGTCATACTTTAAATTTTACCAGGTCATATTTAATTTTTTTTTAATTTGGTGTAAAACCGGTTTTGGAGAAAATCGAAAACCGGTTTTAGGAAAATTTTAAAAACCGGAAAAATCGAAAACCGGTTTTACGAACTTTTGCTAAAATCGGAAAAATCAAAAACCGGTTTTACAAAATTTTGCCAAAATCGGAAAAATCGAAAACCGGTTTACAAAATTTTCCGATTTTGGATGCACTAGTCCGAATTTTAGCTCATGTGCAGTTACATATCGAGTCTGCTTAATGGGGGTGACACCCTATTAAAAGGGTGTTTTCCCACCTCCCCCAGTCATTAGGGCATACCCCCTCCCCTGTTGCGGGCGGCCCAGTCGAGATTTCCTGGGCCCTCATTGTTAAGAAACATGTAGCGATTAAGCCTGAGGGCATTCGCAGAAATATGGGAATAATAATAATAAAACAAATAAAAAAGATTTCAATAATTATGTGACTACAATTATGTGAGTATTATAAGAAATCTCCCAAACCCTACTGTGAAGTAATTTATTGAACAGTGCAAATATAAGTTTATTTCAACCTATGATCAAAGGTGCAGATAATATGCGTCGTTATGTTGTTCTCAAACTGTGTTTTTATCTCTCGGCACGTCAAGCATATGTAAAAATGTTTAATATCTGTACAAGTTATAGCAAAATCCCTTACTTTAGGGGCGTCAATTTGTAAGTTTTTGTTCTTAAATGTGTAAAGAAATTGTTTATTTCTTATGATTTCCTACATTTTGCACAATCTATAAAAATACTATTTATGAGCTTGTCGTAAAAAATGGTTTATGCAGATACAAAAATTGACATTATAGTATACTGCAAAAATTATTAAGGGCGATGACAAGACCGATACAATCTGGAGTGGTGGATGCGACAATACTGAAATGACGAACGATAAGCCCAAACATAATTAATTTGTGAGATAAGTCGCTCAGCCACACAGTTTTGCACACACCCCTCTCTCGAAAACGTGACATGTTGTACACAATATTGTGACCATTAAGCAGACTCGAGGTGCTTAAAATTAAACAATTGTTGAAACCAGGAATGTTATCATATCAGGAATGTGTGTCTGCGGTTATCTCCAAAAATTACCGTGTTTCGTGCCGATCAAGTCGGGGACGCGTGATCACTTGCGCAACGTGACTTTCAATTAAGGCTTGATTATATTATATTATATAATAATTACCATTTGAAGTTTTATAAATCATACTGAAGCGGAGAATCACGGCCCAGTTGTTGTCGAGTGTACGGTTACAAAACACTGCTCCCCAATTTAACTAATTTGCTAAATATGAGGCCCACTTTGGCTGTTGCTCGCAATATTATTGTTTTTGCCTTACTTTTGGTAGTGCGTCCAGGACAGCAAGGGACGTTGAGTGCTTTGAAGGACTGTATTGTCCAGGCTGGATCGAATGCTTCAGACATAGTGGAACACGATGGTCCTGATTATGCAAAATACTCTGAGCTAAATTATCAATGGAATCTTATCCACGAAAAAAAGTTTCCTGTCGCTTATTTTGTGGTGAGAAGTGTGACAGATGTTCAAAATGCGGTTTGGTGCTGTACTGCCCAGGTGAGGCCAGGCTATTTCCAGCCTTTTTTCAATTAAGACATGTTTTATGGATTGAATATTCAAGTCAATTGAATGACTGACTGCTTATTAATTAATTCGATTTCACAGTCCGTCAGGATAGTAGCAAAAGGTGGTGGCCACTCATACGAGGCATACTCCTTTGGGGATAGCACAGCTCTGATAGTAGACCTTCAAGCCCTGCACGAGCTCGTTGTCAGCCCGGATCGTCAATCATTTACCATCGGGTCGGGAGCCCTTCTCGGCCAATTAGCTTACCCACTTCTTGAAGGATACAACTTGGTCACACCGCACGGAACCTGTCCAACAGTTGGGATTGCTGGGTTAGCCACGGGAGGAGGTTACGGCTACCTTTCTAAGCTTTTCGGTCTCACGACAGACAATGTCATGGAAGTCGAGCTGGTTGACGCTAACGGAGATGTGCTGGTCGTCAACAGGGATACGAATCCCGACTTGCTTTGGGCCCTTCGTGGCGCAGGCGGAGGAAACTTTGGGATTATAACGAAGCTAAAATTTAAGGCTTATTCTGCCCCCGTGCTAGTCACGGCAGGGGCAAAAATGTACCCCTTGGACCAATTTCCCCTCGTCTTTTTGCTGTGGCAACAATTCGTCAATGACACGTACGCGTCTAGAGAGACGAATACAAAGTTGGCTATCAAGAATGGGATCGTAACAGTTGAAGTGTTTGACATTCAGGTGACCAATGACAACGTGGAAGAAGCACTGAGGCGGGTGGATGATAATTTGGATAAGTTTCCAACCACGGCGACGGAAGATACGACACAGGTTATTGCAGATCCGTATATGGACTTTATCTTCAGGACGTCACATCCAGACGATGTTGGCATAACGGATCCGAGTCAGCTTCCAAATGTGACGAGGTCAATGTTCAGCCCGAGGCTTTTCCATGCCAAATCCTATTTTTCAAAGTAAGAAGTCATTCATAAATGTTTTTGTGGGAAATGTGTTTTCGAGCGATTCATTTTTATTTCCCCGCATTAATTAAAAACAGCTGCCTACATTATCATTTGGCTATCGTAACCTGTTCGCACTTTTTAGTCTCAAGTGAGACGGTAATGGATCATAAATTAATATATTTGTTTTGGAATTTTTTAAATGTAGCCATCTCATCGCATATGACGACATTTGGACACTATATTTCATCCTTGAGGAGACAGTTCAAGGCGTGCAGGACATCATCATAGAAATGTATGCTTTTGGAGGTGCCATTGATGACATGAGTTCCACCCAGGATACCGCTTTTAACCACCGACACGGAAACCTATACCTGGTCCAAGCATTCTTCAATGGGAAGGGTACCATGAATCCAAACCACCCATCGATCGCCTGGCTTAACCGATTCTACGAGATAACGACGCAAGTCTACCGCCACACGGAGGCGTATCAAAATTATGCCGATGCAACATTGACTGACCATCTGCAACGATACTATGGCTCAAATCTTGACCGATTAATTCAAGTTAAACGAAATATTGACCCCAGAAATATTTTTCATCACCCGCAGTCAATTCCTGTATAACCAGTCAAAATTGTAATTGCCACATGATAGTTAAATTTTATCAAAACTTTACTTATATAATTGTGTATTTCTTTCGAAATTGAAATTTTTTAAGTTAGTATGATTGAGATAAATACGGGTGACACACCATTACGTAACCTGCTGAATAGCCTTGATGATAATAATCTGGTAATGATGTAAATATCGTAATTGTTAGCAAGAGAAAATAAATATATGAGCAATCAATTGGTATGGGTTTTTTAGTTATTAATTATTATCGTCTTTTTTCCGTCTCACTCTCAAATTAGTGTTTTTATTGTGTAAACTTTGTATTCCGGCTAGATGGCGTAGAAGGATTATCTCTGGTGTCTAATATGTCCATGAAAAAAACGAATTTCAAAATTTCAGATCTACCAACAATAAGGAGTTCCAAGTCTGTAAAAAAGATCTAAAAAAATCCAAAAGCTAAAAAATCGGAAATCCACTTTTTAGTACCTATATATACCATCTGATTGTCGATTTTTCATCTCCCAACGATTTTGATGTATGATGGCTTAAAATTTGCGTAATTTTGTGTACATTAAGAATCCGTAATAAAATTGGGGGGGCCCGAAGACAGTTTTCGAGATAAAAGCCCATATGTGTGAATGTTTTGCGAATTTTGATAAATTTGATTTTCGACTCAAAATCGAGTCGAATATCGCTGGAAATAATTTTAGAATTTATTTTGCACTAGAATTTGGCCCCTGCCTTGAATTCGGGCCCCCAGATTCCAATTTGCAGGATTTTGCAAAATAATTGCAATTTCCGCTTTAATTACACGAACAAAATATGGAATTTATTAATGGCTATTAACGAATTATTGAATCAGAAGGATGGGTTACGTAAAAGCATAGTTTGACAATTCGGCGTGTTGGCTAATGAGTTAGTTGAGTTATTCCGATAAGACGGATTCGTTGTAGGTACTATTGCTAATACGGATTTTTGTAAAGTATGTAAAATTTTGTTAATAATGGGTGAACTTGTTACAAAAACAATGAACTTGATCATCACGGAATAACATTTACACGATAAAACTTCCTGATCTGAAATTCTGCCCTAATTTCTAATCTCTCACAATTTTAAGAAACCGACCAACTTTCTCTGGGCGACGAGACCATGACTTTGGTGAAATTGGGCAGAAGGGAATTGAGCTTGGAATTTTTGCTGGTTGGTTTTCGTGGTTTCGAGTGATTTGATTCTATCACGGTTTGCTTTGATTGCCTGCCTTTCGATCCCCTCGATTTGCTCCAAGATCAAACGCTTCCCGTTCCTCGGGACTGCATACGTGGAGGGAGGAACGGGCAGGAAGGAAATCGGGGCCATCAGCAGTAGAGGACATTACATGTTTTTTTCGGGGCTGGGCAGAAGGGATGGGGGCGTTTTTTGTGTAACTTGTCACCATACAAATTTTTAGGCAAGTCGATTCACCGATAACTTTGTAAAATCTGTAAATTCGTAAACTTACGTACAAACGTTTACAAAATTTTTGCGCAGATCAAGGACGTCCTTTTTGGAAAAGGTTGTAAAATTACTTCATAGAACTTACGGATTTTACAAGCTAACAATGATTGCGTGAATTTCGACAAGAGGAAATTTAGGTGAAAATTGTGCTTTAAAGTTTTTAAAATATTGGTCACCGTGATGACCAATCAAATTTTTTGGTAACATCCTTAAATTTGATAATATTTCTACCAGTTTAAAAAAACTATATACTGCTAATTGACTACAAAGATCTCAAGGGCATCTCTCTAAAGTTTAGTAAATGCTGTAAAACTTTCGGCTTAAAAAATCCGATTGATTGATAGGATCAAAATAAAATTTGAGAAATTTTGGAATGCATATTCTGGACGACGTAAGTGAAAGTTGCAAACTTTCTGAATTAAACAATTAAACAGACAGATGTGAATTGTTTTGGAGGTCTTGTCGTGGTAATCGAGATCAGTTAGTCGATTCAAGCAGAAAGCTCCCAATCTATCAGGTTTTAAAATTGTTAGTACCTATGTACATATACCATCTATGTGTCGATTTTTCATCTTCCAACGATTTTCAAGTTTGATAGCTTAAAATTTGCGTAATTTTGTGTACATTAAGAATCCGTAATAAAATTGGGGGGGGGCCGAAGACAGTTTTCGAGATAAAGGCCAAAATGTGCCAATTTTTTGCGAATTTTGAGAAATTTGATTTTTGTCTCAAAATTGTCAAAATTAGGTGAAATATCACTTGAAATAATTTTAGAATTTATTTTGCACCAGAATTTGGCCACTGCCTCGAATTCGGGCCCCCATTTTCCAAGTTACAGGATTTTGAAAAATAATTGCAATTTACGTATTAATTAGTACACGATCGAAATGTGGAATTTATTAAACGTTATTAACGTATTGCTCAGTGATAGCCATAATAACTGAAATTATATTTAGCCAATTCTGTGTGTATGAGATTTAATTTTTAGTTATAGTGCATGTGCACCATATTAACTACACAGTATACAGGTCTAAATATATTGTATGTATGACTAGAAAATCTACATGTGAAACGAATGAGATGGCAATTGGAATGATGTCGCTTGATTTTAAATACTGACAGCAGATGATCTTGTTTTATAAACTACCAGATAACGCGACACCCTTGTAATTTGTAATCCTATAAATATCGGTCATCCTTTGATTTTTTCATAAACGTTGGATTATTGGACTGCATGATTTTGGAATGCGTTAATGTTTTCATAGCATTACGACGAATGACTAAAATTCGCTCAGATGGCAGTTTTTCGCCAATTGTTATAAAATCTTATGGAAATTCTAATATATGAAAATTTTTACAAAATTGTTTTAAAAAATCGAGGGGTAATGGGTTTACATACTTTTGATAACCTGACAGATTTGAAACGCTCTACCAGAACGTATCCACTGATTTCGATGGAGCCCAATAATCCAATACGCACCTGTTTATTTGATTATAAAATCTCAAAAATTCTAACTTTCACTCAAATCGTCCAAGTTATGTAAATAAGTTCTTCAATTCTAAAGTTTCCAAAATTTTATTTTGATTCAATTAAATTCAGATTTTTGAAACCCAGTTAAATTTACTTATAAGTTTTGTAGAATTTCAGTAAAATACAGAAAAGGCCTCGATCTCTGTATTAAGTTGGAAATACATTAGCCTACAATGTTGTCATTAATACTTTGTTTTTTTGCGGGCGTGCTTTATGCACATCCTTCCAACCAGGAAAGCAAAGAAAACGAGACTCTTGCCCAATTGGAGTCACATAACTTCATCCTGTGTATCAATCCGGGTAGGAGAAAGTATACATAACGCGGTAAAAATTGGCAATAAAAACTACCCATGAAAAAATTGGCTGCCTGCAAATTCTATTTTTGCGATTCACCATTTTTTATAGGATTTCAATACTGGTGTCAAGTAGAAAATGTCACAACTTAAGGCTGAATTTCTTACACAATTTTTTACAAAATATTACATATTACATCCAACATTTGTTTACAACTATTTATATGCAACTCGAAAATTGCACGCTTATTCAAATTTAATTTCAGAATTTTAGTATATTTCTTTGTGGTAGTTCGTATTTATTTAATATGCGGGTTATGTTAAAAATGTCAAACTTTTTTTAACTCATAAACTACAAAGGGCGTCGTGTAACACGACTTGTGCTGTTTTGTAGAAGTTTGTAAAATAATTTGAAAACCTGAAGAATGATCTTGAGTCGATAAAACGAAAGAATCTTTTTATTTAAGTAAATCCTTAGAGTTTATAAATTTCACTAAAATCCTTCAAGTTATGCAATTCCAAAAATATTCTTTTTGTATAACTCTATATGATTTTTGCTAATATACTTTTTCACAATTGGATGTTGTCTTGTGCCAACACAACATAAATTCAATTCAGCAAATAGAAACTATGTAAAAAAAAATAAATGTCTATTTGGGTAAAAATTGGCATCAAAGGGTTACAAGGACCGCCTTCGGCACGTGGAGTCAGTGGGGAGTAAAATGAAAGAAATAAATTTGCCATTAGATTCACAGATTGAATTGTAAGTAAAGAAAAAAATACATGAAACTTGGCAAAAATCAGAATATCTATTTTTTGGTAGAATCTATGCTGGTGACGACATATTGGTCTAGTTTATTAATTATTTCATACGAAATTCCCCGGGACACTATTTTGGCTATTTCGTGGTAGTCTCAGACTACATAACAAAGGAATTTACGCAGTCCTTGGCAATTTTGTAAAATTCGTAAATTTTGTAAAATTATTTTAAAATTCTTACCGGTTTACAATTAGATTTACAAGTAAATAATAATTGGGATAAAATATGTTACAAAACTATTTCAAATTCAGTTATTACGACGACTGGCTAAAGTCAAAACATTCTCGCAGTCCTTCGTCAAACTTGTATGAAAATTTTTCCAAAATTGTGAAAAAGTCAAAAGATAATCTGCTTACAAACACTTGTAAGATTACAAATTACAAGGGCGTCGCGTAATTTGGTAGAAGTTTGTAAAAAATAAATAAAACGATAGATTGTGAACGTTCTGCTTGAATCGACTGACTGATGTCTAAAACCACTACAAGACCACCAACGGATGTGTGTTTAATTATTTAATTCACAAAGTTTGTAACTTTCACTTACGTCGTCCAGGATATACAATTTCAAAATTTCTCACATTTTATTTTGATCCTGTTCAATCGGATTTAGTAAGCCGAAAGTTTTACAGCATTTAATAAAGTTCAGAGAGACGCCCATCAGAGCCCAAGGAGCCTCAATGAGTATTTACTGCGAATCACAATGCAAGTTTGTGTAATTTTTGTGCATAAAAAGATGCGATGGTTAATTTGTACAAAATTTGCGGAAAATTTATATAAATTTGCGTACTGCTAATAAACTGGTACGTGATATCCACTAAATTATCACGAATAAATCAGCAGCAAACCAATCAAATAATATAAGTGAAGATTTAGTGCGTATTTGTTGGCGCAGAAGTCTCATGAGATTTCTTGTACAAAATTCATGCATAAGTCGTAACCGGGAAATTGTACTAATTCAAGCGCAGTAAACTCGCACTAGTAAATTCGCAAACAATTCGTGCTGATTATTCTGCAATAATTTGTTACTAAATTAGTATCATTTTTATGTTCTCGATTAGATAATCAATTCCTCGAACATGCTTAGTCAGTTGTTCTGTTAG